AGGAATTTGTTCATAGTTTTTTTTTTTTAAACTATAGTCTGCCCCTCCAATGGTCTGAGGGACAGTGAACCAGCCCCCTGTCTTAAAAGTTTGAGGACCTCTGCTAGGATCTGAGGAAAGGCATAGTAAGTCTCTTAGGTGTTTGCAATGATTAATCTAGTTGCAATGCTAAGAAGGCTAAAGCTGTCCCTAACCTCCATAAAATGGTTCAGAAGCAGAGAAATGAAGAGAGGCAGACAGACAGAATAGTGTCATGATATGTGTGGGAGGCAGGGAATCACATCTAGATGATTCCCTGCTTGCTGAGGAAAAATATTCCCAAGTCCTGCTACAAGACTTTCACTCCAGCTTCCGATGGAAGCTTACTGCTCATGGAGGCATGGTCTTAACAAATAGGGCAAAAGAAGGGCTAATCAAACATTGTGCTATGGGAAGCTAGCCGGTCACACAAGGACAACTGCAGTGTGACTCCACTTGCACGAGGCACCTCGAGCAGCCAGAGTCACAGAGACAGAGAGGAGAATGGTGGTTGTTGGGGCAGAGGAAGGGGGAATGGGAATTTGTGTTTAAGAGGTACAGAGTTTCAGATGGAGAAGATGAAAACGTTCTGGAGACATAATTGCACAGCAACATGAATACACCACTTCTTCACCATCATCATCATCATCATTGCAATAATGACTGGTCAAAGAAAGAACTGGCACCCATTCAGAACTGCTTACCTTTTCTGAGCATTCTCCAAGTGGCTTTCTTCCTTTTTGTGCTCTTTTTTGGCTATGAAAGAAGTAAGAAAAAAAAAATTAAAACTATGTTCTTTTAGTGTATCCTTTACATAATTTCACAGCTTCAATTACACTCATTCATTACAATAAGTCTGACTCCAGAAGTGGGGAGCCTCTTGTCCTGGAGACAACACACAATTTGCTTCATCTGCCACCACTGCTTTCTTGATAACAGAAATAGCTAACAGTGGTCAAATAGTTTATTGTTTTCTCTGGGATACTTTTGAGAGTGATATTAATAATTATACCTGGCCAGGTACAGAGGCTTACACCTGTAATCCCAGCACTTTGGGAGGCTGAGGTGGGAGGTGGGAGGCTTGAGCCAAAGTGAGAGGCTTGAGCCCAGGAATTCGAGACCAGCCTGGGCAAAATAGTGAGACCTCATCTGTACAAGAAAAAACAAAAAGTAGTTGGGCATGGTGGTGTACTCTTGTAGTCCCAGGTATTGGAGAGGCTGAGGCAGAAGGATTGCCTGAGCCCAGGAGGTTGAGAATAAAACATAATAATTTATGTTTTAATAGTGGCACTGTAATGGTGCACTGCATTCCAGCCTGTGTGACAGAGTGAGATTCTGCTTCAAAAAAGTAATAATTATTATTATACCTGGACAAAGACATAAATTGGAACAATCATGGGTATATCAGGGCACATGGTGGTGACCTAGCTATAGCTGGCCTCTTCATGAGCCTCAGGATGTACACATGTTCCTCCTCACTCTCAAAAAAATAAATCCAGTGACATTTGTGGCACTAGTGCATGGATTCAAATTAATTCATAGGAATCCTTGCACATACTGCCTTGGGTCCCTTTGGCAGTCTGGGGAAGCCTATGGACTCCTTTCAGAATGATGGTTTTAAATGCAGTGAAAAATCCCACATGAGATTACTTAGGAAATCAATGATACTGAGTTACAATTGTGAATCCATATATGAAGAACCTGTGTCCTTTCTGTAGGGATTATGTAATTAGGCAGTTTCATTTTGGGGTGCTTCTTTCCTATGTCCTTCTGTACAACCAGAAGATAATATTATCACATAAGTTAATACCACTCTTACACTTTTTAAATATACGGGAAAATAGGAAACCTGTAACAGAATCCACACAAGCCTTAAGATTTCTTCAGTTTGGGGGCTACGATGATATAAAATGAATGAAAAATGAATCATATTTAGGGTTTAAGCTGTGATATGCCAGAAAAGGTACTTTAAAGGATTCTAAAACATCACCAGTTTACTAAGTCTAGCTCTGTGACTTATCGCCTGTGTGACTATGGGCAAGTTACTCATGACCAAATGCTTAGTTATTATCTGTCCTATGAGAATAGCCACAATGACTACTATCACATAACTGCTATAAAAATTAAATGGTTTATGATCAGTCTTGGCAACATAGCAAGACCTGTCGCTACAAAAAAATATCCCCAAATTAGCCAGGTGTGGTAGTGTGTGCTTGTAGTCCCAGCTACTCCAGAGGCAGAGGCAGGAGGGTCTCCTGAGCCCAAGAGTTTAAAGTGGCAGTGAGTCATCATTGTGTCACTGCACTCCAGCCTAGGCAAGAGTAAGACCCTAACTTTAAAAAAAATTAAATAAGATAATATATGCAGAGTGCTTAGCACATAATAGGTGCTCAATACAGGGGATGACAGGTATTATCACATTATCATTATCATCATTGATCATAATATGTAACTTTTACAAGTTGCTCCCCTGTTCAAACTTTCCAATGGCCTGGCTTGCCATTACCCGTAATGTTCTATCCAAAGTCTTCATGTTGGCCTAGAAGGCCCTGAAAATCTGCTTCCTGGGTCCTCAGTGCCATCGCCTCCTCTTTCCCACACTGGCTCCTTTCTAACCTCGCTGGTGGCTCACTGTGGCTTGAGCACATTGAGTATCCACATCTGAGGATCTTCACTCTTGCTGTTCTTCTCCCTGGAACATTCTGTCCACAGTCTTGGCATGACTGGCTCCCTCACTGCATTCAGGTCTCAGCTCAAGTATCACCTTCCCTGGCCTCACTAAGAAAAGATCAGCCCTTGCCATCATCATTCCCCCAATTCCCCTCTACAATCACCCTCTGCCCCCACCTTACTGTTCTTCGCTACAGCCTCTATTTACTTCAAGAATATTCTTTTACTCATTTGTTTATTGTACAATAATTGAATATAAGCTCCAGGACAGCGGCAACTTCATCTGACTTGCTTTTTTTTTGAGTTGGAGACTCTGTCACCCAGGCTGGTGGAGTGCAGTAGCACACTCACCGCCACCCCAGCGTTGACCTGCTGGGCTCCGGTGACCCTTCTGCCTCAGACTTTCAAGGAGCCGGAACTACAGGCACGTGATACCACGCCCTGCTAATTTTTGATTTATTGTAGAGACAGTTGCCCAGGCTGGTCTCAAAACCGTGGGATCAGGCAATCCACTTGCCTCAGCCTCCCAAAGTACTAGGATTACAGGTTGAGCCACCAAACCCGACTTGTTTTTTGCCACAATATTAAATATGGAAAAGTATCTACATGTTAAATAAACTATTTTGGCTTAAAAATGCATATACTGTACCAGACATGGTGGCTCATGCTTGTAATTTCAGCCACTCGGGAGGCTGAGGCAGGAGAATTGCGTAAGTCCAGGAGGTCAAGGCTGCAGTGAGCTACTACTCCCGCCTGGGCAATGGAGCCAGACCCTTCTCTTTTTTTTTTTTTTTTTTGAGTTGGAGTCTCACTGTCGCCCAGACTGGAGTGCAGTGGCCGCTCCCGGCCACCACAGCCTATGCTGGGCTCTGGCCGTCCTTCCGCCTCAGCCTTCCAAGTAGCTGGAACTACAGGCGCACGCTACCACACCCGGCTAATTTTTGATTTATTGTAGAGATGAGGTCTCGCCTGCCCAGGCGGGTCTCGAACCTGCGGGCTCAGGCAATCCACTCATCTCAGCCTCCCAAAGGCGCGGGATCACAGGCTGAGCCACCGAGCCTGGCTTCCTTCTCTTCAAAAATATATTTATTGAATAAAGCTTGCTTGAAAAGAGAGATACTAGCCGTCCTAAATGCAAAACTTTACACTTAGAATATGAACACAAGCTAAAAAAGAGGCTAAAGTTGTATCCTATTATCTCTAAATGTTAGGACATTTCAATTAATATAAATTATTGCTTTATATTAAAATGATTTGGCTTTGATAAGTGTATCAGTTTAGGTAGAGTTTGGTCATAGTCATGGCCATCTTTTAATGTATGATGTCCCTGTCCCCCTCCACATACAGCAGGAATCTCTATGAATTAGTCTGGTACTTACCCAGTCAGATACTGAGAAATGACCTGTGTCCCTCATAGGTTACCAAATTCCACCAAATTGTGAAACAAACCAGTGATTTGTTCTTATCCAGTGATTTTAAATTATGTGCATGGCCAAACAGGAGGAAAAATTCCTTTGAGGCCTGAGTGATCTTCAAGGAGCACCTTTGCTGTTCTCCGTCACCAGATGGGGTCTAGCTGGTTACTTCCATGCTATGCTAAGCAGACTGTGGCCAAGCCATCACTACATATGAATTTAATAACAAGAAACACCCTATTCATATTGAAGTAAGCATTAGATAAGATTTCACAATAGTATGGGAATAAGGAGATTTGGAAAAACTGTGTCCAAATGTGAAAAGAGGTATTATTAAGAGGCAGTGCACACTGTTCTGAGGGTTTGGGGCAAAGAGCCTTCAGGAAAATAAATCTGGACATCTAAATTTTTCCTATGTACAGACAGACAAGGTATCCATCTTCAGGGATGGATGTGGAAGCTCTACCAGCCTAAAATATTTCTCTTACCACAATGTGGAAAATTTCCAATCATATCATTATAACTTTAAGGTCTTTAAAATGTTCTAAGCAACAAACAAATACATTACCTGGAAAGACAATTAGAAAGTGTTTAAAGACTGGAGGCACAAACTCAAATTCTAATATTATCAACAAATAAGAATCCTAATGTTTTATGATGCGAATCCTAGTTTCTCAATACTGGAACAGATACTCTTAGAATGGAGAAGCAAATAGGGCATGGCAGGGAAGTAGGAAGGCCATATCCCGTGTGAGAGAGGGCAGGTACTTGGTCTTGCTTCCAGATCATCTACTTTCTTGAGAGAGTTAGAGAGTTTTAAATGAATGCTCCCAACTTTGAAAAAATGTTTTCAAATACTGTATGACAAAGAGAACAATCCTGTTGGCCACATGCGGCTCTGCAACCTCTGACTTCCGTCTTTAGTAGCTACTGACATAATGACATAGGAGGGTTTATTCTTTCCTTCCATGTGCCAGGTTCTATTTCAAGTGTTTGGAATCCACCAATGAAGAAAGCAGACAAAGGTCCCTGTAGGACTTTTGTTCCAGCTGGAGAAGACAGATAGAAGAAATAAGATTCAGTGTAAGTAACTTTCGATAAGGGGTAGCAAAAAAAAAAAAAAAAATCTAGAACATAGATGGCTGCTTATAGAAAGAGACAAGGTGTGAGTTACTGAATTAGGCATGCTCCAATGATATTGGGCACAAAAAGGGAGAGACAACATTTACATTGAAAATGGCAAATATGCCGGGCTCGGTGGCTCAGCCTGTAATCCCGCGCCTTTGGGAGGCTGAGGTGAGTGGATTGCCTGAGCCCGCGGGTTTGAGACCCGCCTGGGCAGCGAGACCTCATCTCTACAATAAATCAAAAACTCAGCCAGGCGTGGTAGCGCATGCCTGTAATTCGGGCTACTCGAAAGGCTGAGGTGGAAGGATTGCCGGAGCCTAGCAGGTCGAGGCTGTAGTGGCCGGAAGTGGCCACTGCACTCCAGTCTGGGCAACACAGTGAGACTCTAACTCAAAAAAAAAAAAAAAGAAAGAAAGAAAATGGCAAATCTTAGATGAAAACTGTCTTTGAACTAAGTGGCACTAATCTATGTGTGGGATTTACTTAATCTTATATTCTACAAAGCCACATCAATAGTAGAATAGAGGTGCTTCATTTTCCAAT